GAAACTACTCAATATACTGGGAGATAGGAACAAAGTGTCGCTAATATGGATACCGGGACATGTCGGCCTGAGGGGGAAATGAACGTGCTGATTCCCTCGCCTAAATTGGTGCAGGCTCGCCATTCGTGGGCCCAGAACCGACACTTAGCGTTCCTAAAAATCTCGCAAGAGACAGGCTCTGTGAATGGGTTAGGAGTGAGACGTTCCGAGACTGGAATGACAGTCCCGGAATGGAACATGTCAAGAAAATCCTAGCAGGGCCATCCAAACATAGAACAGGAAAGGCCGGTAGGAATGGAACGCGTGTGCTCACTGCAGTGTACACGGGCCACTGCCGGCTGAGATCTCACCTACAGAGGACGGGACTGGTGGAAGACGCCGAATGCCGACTCTGTATGGAAGATGATGAAACAATGAAGCACGTTATGTGTACCTGCCCCGCTGGAAGCAGGACCAGGTTTGAGATGTTTGGCAAACCCATGCTAGACCTATCAGACCTAGGAGACATATCGCCCTCAGACATAACGGCTTATATTAAGAGGCTGGGTCTTGACGATGAACTTTGACGCTTTTGTAAATTAGAGCTTGTAGAAACTGAGCCACAATAGGCCCTCGCGGCCTCAGTGGAGTAGGCCCTCGCGGCCTCAGTTGACCACTCTTAGTCAAATACAATACAATACAATTAGTTTCTGGTGGGGGTGGGGGGTTGGTAAGGGGGTATGGGAGGGGGTTAAAAATTTAAAAAAAATCGTAACCCCAAAATTACAGTAGCTAGCGAAACGCGGTTTTCAATTTAAGATGAGGAATAATATTTGCAACAAAATTTGTAATAACATCAAAATCAGTCAAAGTCGCAGTTTTTCAGATAATTGATTATTAACATATTTTAGTATGGGCGGCTATATGTGCCTCCCGCCGCCAATTTTTTAATTATAATATACATTTTCTTGTATTACCGATTGCCGATTTCATATTAACTAAAGAGAAATTGGAACAACTTTCGTTGCACGTCATCAATGACACCATGCGTCGTCTTATGGAGTTTGCTGGTGGTCGTATTATGAAGTGCAACGAAAGTTATTTTAATTTCTCTACATATGAGACTAAAACCACATAAATTAAAACGGCGAATTTTCAGAATAACTAGAAATATAAAATATGTTCCTTATAAAATTTAACCGATTTTGTAGTACCTTATAATATGTGTACATTACAGTTTAGATATCATGGAATACATGTCCATTAAAAAGTGATGATATGTTTTGATCACTATGCAATATGTCGATGGCATAAGCTAAGGGCTGGAGGATTTTAAGGTACTGTTCAATGTATTCGAGATCAATTATTTATTTCGTTCGTCTCTCAGGCTACGTAACGGAGTCGGAGTTTCACTTGATTCATGTGAAAGACAACAGACTCACGTACTACACACGCGTAACACGACAAATAATCCAAACAGGTTCCGAAAAACTGACTTTTTTTTGCTAGTGGTATTGAGTGTTGTTTTTTTATAAGCTGTCTAGCTGCCGTCAAACGGTTTAAAAAGAAAAAATGGGTTTTTTCTAAAAAGACTTAAATATTTTAAAAGATTTAATACCCCAGTCAAAATAAACAAAAAAAGGGGGTTAAATAACAATAATTCGCATGGAGCTCAAAATTGGTACAGGTCTTAAATACACTATTATAAATGATATCTGAAAAATTTCCACCCCTCCCACGTCTGCTAAAAAAATTATTCAAGGTCAAAAGTAAAAAATATTGCTTTTTTCTCCTAAACGGTAAGCGCTATCGTAAAAGTACCTTAAACAAATATTGTAGACCATTAAATTTTCTACAATCACCATCCTGAGATATGGCGATTTCAAAAGTTGAAAAACTCGTATTTTTCATAATATGCACACATTTCCGCACCACCTGTGAGGTAGTGCACTTTACGTTTTTTTAATGTGGTTTCCCCTGTAGGCCTAATCCACGATCTATTGTGGTTAAGGAATGGTGGTTCGTAAGAAAAAAGTATAAGAACCATTATTGTAGAAAATTTAATGGTCTACAACATTTTTTTAAGGTACTTTTGCGATAGCGCTTACCGTTTAGGAGAAAAAAGCAAAAAACATATTTTTGACTTTTGATCTTGAATATTTTTTTAGCAGACGTGGGAGGGGTAGGGATTTTCAGATATCATTTATAATAGTGTATTTAAGACCTGTAATAGTGTATTTAAGACTTGTTCCCAACCGTCCCGGTTTGGCCGGGATTAACGAGGAATCAGAAAGTTTGTCTCGGCGAAAGTTTTACCTTGGCCGGGACCTGGAAACTAAAAAAATGTGTACCTACTACACACATAATATATTTTATTTTCTAATATTTAATGTCTTGCTTCAATTATTTAAAAGCTTAAAAATAATTGTCCCAGAATCGCCGATGCTCAAGTTGGGAACCCTACCTGCACAGAATATCTAGCTACGCAACAGAAAAATACTCGAAATGAAAGAGCTAAAATTGCACAACTAGAATACTAGATGGCGCGACAATATCATAATCAGAATATAATTAGAAAATTTGAACTTTCGGTTTTGGATCGACGGATCGTCGACGGCCTTGTAGCTCGGCTAAATATGCACAGTTGCCAGATTCAAAAAGACTTGAATTGACATCCCATTCTTTTTATTGTGTATAAAGCAGTATGTGTTTCTTTCTATTCTTCTTTTCTTGTCAGATACACTTATATGTATAAATTATTCCTTTGGCTATTAAAATAGTTTTAAGTATATTATTACAAAACATATACATTTTTAATATACACTACCTTATAATGTTAACTAAGAAAATACCTTTAATTACCTTTAAAATTAATAATACACAGGGCGATTGATAGTGATATTTATTAATGCTGGAACGTTAGTAATGAAATATAAGTTTAATAATAATGGAAATAATTTATTAAAATGCAGTACAAAAAATGTTAACTGACTAAAAAATACTATAATAACAAATTTCTTCCGTTTGCCACGTGATTTATATAGACCTAGGTAGATTTTAAAAAGTGACACAGGTACAATTAATAATATATTAGTTCGGCATAAAAGTTGCTGTCACGACATCGAACAATAAATTAAAAATCGTAAAATAAATTAAAATTATTAATTAAACAAATCTTTATAAAGAAACGCAAGTACACCAAATTTGGGCCCAATCGAACTCCAGGAGATGATATCATAATAGTGTACTATATTATGGTACCACTCGATATGCTTAAAGGTACCATAATATTGCAATGTCACCGAAGATCCGTAGTATACCAAATTTAAGAACAATCGAACGCCAGGAAATGGTATCGTAATATGGTACTATATTAAGGTACCACTTTATATGCATAGTACCATCATATTACATCAATGTCACCGAAAATACGTAGTATCCGAAGTTTAAGCCCAATCGAACGCCATGTAGAGTGTTCTAAAACACCCTAATCTACATCAATATTTTCAACATGAGGAAACATTTGATCAATACCTTCAATGAGAAAAGAAACATAATAGCTTAACCAAAAACCGAATGAATGATTATATGCCCCATAAGCTTCTGTAACAGACTGAATAACAGGATTATCCTGAATAGAGAATGCTTTTCAAATCAATTTAGTGGTCAAAAAATTACGTCTAATATTAAGGGAAAGTTCTGCCGATTCTGATAGAATGATATTACTTGGACAGTTTTCTAATCGATTTTTCCCATCACTATTGAGTATATTCCTCTCATTCAATGTGAATTTTCGTTTGTCCAATAACGTCAGTTTTGTGGATTTATCTTGCCATCCAACGTGAAAGTTGAATTGTCAGAAAAAATATGTTCTTTGGATTCAGAGTAATATTGTGAAGTAAACGCATTATTTGCTCAGAAAACTGTAATCTCCTATCGCGATCATCTTCAGTTCATTCCTGTACAGTCCACCAGAAAATGTGAGTATCCATAATACTGAATATTAACTGATTTTATTTTCTATTGCAATTTGTGGGGCCTGATGGTCGTCTGGTTATTAGGATTTTCTTGAACGTTCAATACAGTATTGAGTCTAACATTTTCGCATAATGCAGTTCTTGCTTATCAGCGTATTCTGTCTATTATGTGATAATGATTGAATAATATCTGAACATTTCCCTCTGTAAATGAATAACTTTATATTGGGTTCTGTGTCTCTGATTATTAGGAAATCGATTCGATGTAAGGATGGGAGGTAAGGATTTCTTTCCTTATTTTTCTATTTCACAATACTGAAATTATTATTGTAACAGTATCGCAAAATTCGACAAGAGTTGCTGCAATACTTCAAACGCTGCTGATCCCCAAAGACTAAGGTTTTGTTCATTTTATTTAAAATACATTTTCGCTATTGCCCAGTGCTGATTAATATCAGATGAGCCAACACACAGTAATTTATAATTTCAAACCACAACCATCGAGAAATTTGGATACGGTAAGGATCGGTTCCAGAAAAATATCGGCTAATAGGGGCTTCATAAAATAGTTTAAATGTCAAAAGATAACCGTTTTTAAATTTAAATATTCTTAGAAATGTTTAATTCTTACTTGTTAAATATTTAAGAATACATTATGGTGTTGTCACAAAAATGTATGTAAATTTCCGTAAACGCTCAACGAATAAATTAAAATTATAATCAATTGCAAATCCACAGCCACATAATTAGGTCTCTTTAGTTATGATAAGAATGTATCAACAATGCAAATTACGTGGATATGATGAAGCTTAAGTTTGCCTAACGAGTCAGTGAAGATTTCGGCAGACGCCATCCAAAAAATGACAGAAAATAACCAAATACTGCATTATTTTTTCTTTAATTTATCGAAAACGAAAAAGTTTCGTCGACATATAGATAATGCAATACAAAAACATATACGACTAAATAACGTGATTTTTTACAACTCTCATGTCACTCCTGACAGCATAAATAACAGAAAAAGAAAACATTAACTTATCTTTAATATTTATTTAACATTGGAATAGTTCGTATTTTGTGGAATTCGTCTTTATCCCTATTATAAACACGTTGATCATCGCTCTTCGTAAATCAGTTTCAATAAAGTTCTCACGTTAGCAAGTCAACGCAAAAATGGGGTTTAAAACACTTATGTTGGTAAGTTTTCCAAACTTTGTCCCAAATAACTCTTTTAATATACAAAGTACTTTGTTTATAGTTGGTCAAATCCAGGCTTTAATGTACACTATCGGGCAAAAGTAGAGAAACTTTAAAATTGTCTTTTTTGTTAACGCAGGGACTGAGGCCATTTTATGCATTGTTTAAATTAAAGATACTTAAATAGTTCTTATTTAAATAAAATAATCACATGTCTCACAAAAACTTAAGATTTTATTCAGTTAAATAAAAAACTATAGGGACAAAAATAGAGAAACTAAAAATTAATATAAAAATTACAAGTACATAGTTGTTGCTAACCTAATAAAATTAATAATGGGTAGAGTAACCGTGATTAGCTATAACTTCACGACATCGCTTTGGCATGGAGTCCAATACTTTTCTTATGGTATCTGATTCAATGGAATTCCAGGCCTCTTTCAAAATTCTTATCAAATCTTTCTTATTGCTAATGTGACTTCGTCTTACCCGGCGATCTAGTTCCTCCCACAGGTTTTCAATAGGGCTAAGGTCTGGACTTTGGGCAGGAAAGTCCATAACCCTAATTTGTTCAGACAAAAACCATTCTTATGAGACTTTCGATTGATGGATCATTATCTTGCTGAAATATCCAGGTTGAAGACAAATTATCATCAGCAAACGGAATCATCATTTTCTTTAAGATGACCAAATACATAAATCGATCCATTGTTCCTTCTATTACATGCCATAGCCCAAGAAGCATCCCTACACTATGCAAGATCCACCACCATGCTTTACAGTAGCCTTGGTATACTTTGGATCAAATATTTTCCCTTCTGGGCGATGTATCCACGATATGCCATCGGATCCAAATATATTGGATTTGCTTTCATCTAAAAACAGGACCTTTTTCCAGTCATTCGTCGAGTCCAGTCAGTGCAAATATTTTTTAAAAAGGTAAGTCGGGCCTTCTGATTTTTCTTACTGATGAGTGGTTTTTTGACTGCTCTTCTGCTAAATAATCCTGCTTCCCTTAGTCCTCTATGGATGGCCTTAGAGCTTATATTGACACCAGGGAGTTCACTCAAAATTTGATTTGCCGATTTATGCGGATTAGTTAAGGCGATTTTTTAATTATCATTTCAATTTTTCTCGTTGTTTTCCTTGGCCGACCTCTTTTTTAATAGTCTTTAAGGAATTGCGAGTGTTGAAATTGGAAATCGTTTTGGTAATGATAGACTTATGCAAATTAAACATTGTGCTTATGTACATTTGATGTTCACCATTGTAAATCAGAATATCAACAGTTTTCACCTTAAGCAAATAACTACTAAGTATGGTTAATTTTTATGTTGGTTTCTTTATCTATGTCCCTTCAAAAATATTTGTGTCCATATTATAAATAAACACCTAAGATATTTTTTTTTGGAATGTGGCGAAAAATGATGGTATTGCTAAAAGGAAATATTTAAAACAAACATTATTTAATATTGGAGGTTAATTCATCACAATACACCAACATACATTACTTTTTTAGTCAGGAACCGGATGTTTGTTTCGCTAACTATGTTAACATTAAAACAGAGATTTAGTCATCTGCTGATCATGCTAATACAGTTAGAAAAACGCACGTCCAGTGCAAAACTAAAGTGTTTTGGTGTATTGTGGTGAATTAGTATTTTATTTTGCTTCTAATATCAAAGGTTCCAACCCCAGCTGTAATAGAACTATTCAATATGGTTTAAATATATTTATTTTCCTTTTCTCCAGGCTGCAATTTTGAGCGTGAGCCTCACCTGCGTCTATGGAGACCTACAAAAAGACGTACCTGTAGCTGCCCTACTAAAAAGTCTACAAGCTGATGACCTGCAGAGGGGAATAGTATCAGATGTTCTTAGCTTATTAAATTCAACATTTTCTACGGTTACAACTGCAATTTCTACAGCCAGTACAGTTGTGCAACAAATTATAATCATCATTAATGTTATAACTACCGTGCTACAATTCATTAGCGGTATTGCGGGTATATTGCAATTTGCACCTATCATATTGGTGATTGCTGTAGTATTGGCAATAATCAACTTTATAATTAGTCTGTTGTCAAGTTGATTACCTAATATCGGGGAGAAAGCTCGACTAATGCTATAATTCAGAATAAACATTTACCTAAAATCATTTTGTTTCCTTTCGAATAAATATACCCCTTCTACGTTCCATGTCTTTCCTCTTGTATCAAATAGATTATCTGTTAAGCCGAGTCCAGACGTGTGTAATGTAACACGTAATGTAACGATAACTGTTTCGACGAAACTAAGACAGAGCTAGTTTTTAGTTAAAAAATATAATTTCTTGATAATATGGCAACATATGGTAATTGCAAAACAATTTCCGAGGCACGTGATAAACTTTGAGTGACAAGCGATGGCGATAGCGCTGCCAGATTGTGATGGATTTATGAGATGAGTTTTAATTTAAAAGTTAGAAACAATATATTTATTATATCATTTTTTAATAATTTACTTTTTATTTTTAATTTAATAACTAATATTTTAGTAATTAAATGATTTATTTGTTTTAGAGCTTATATAGGTAATATATTTCGACCCCAAAAACACGTCTATGAGGTCAAAATTTGGAATAATTTGATTTTTTTTAGTTTTTAGTTAAAAAAAATTCACAGTCCTTTACAAAGATGCAACTGCGGGGGCATTGAAAATGATGAATAAAAACGTAAAAATATGATTAGTGTTAATATGAGTGTATTACATACATATGTTTAAATAACGAATGTTATGGATGAATGTTAAATAACGAAGTTTATGACGGCTTTTTATGTCTTAATAATTATATATAGGGTGTTTTAGAACTCGAACCAAAGTCGAAATTTTGCAAAATCTCAAAAAAGAAAATCTCTCGAAAATAATAAATAGTAAAATGACATTTACCCTCTATGGATAGAACCCTACCTATGGTCCCATATAAACTGTATACTAAAATAAATAGCTTTGACATATAATTGTCGTTTTCTTGATATACTCCCCTGATTTTATTTTATTTTTCCAGAGCACTAATACTCTCTTTATGTTATTTTTTATTCCTAGAAGGATGATTTGAAGAAAAAATATTTCGTTCATATTATTGATGTCACTAAATAAACCCTTGTATAATATGTTATACTTCTAGATGTTATAGTAATGCATTTTCGTACAGCAAACTTTCATTCCCTATTCTACTCCCTAAGGGTACGAATTTCATAAATTCCTATGTCCAAATAATTAACTCATGTTTTTTAAATGATCCTTTGTGCAAATTTTTATATGTATAATCCAGAGGTCACGAAGGTTTATATAATTTTTTACTAACTTTACCCATTTGGTTGATGAATTTCAAAAATCTCTTCTTATTCTTCTTTCTGTAGAATTTCATTCTTCTAGTAAATGATTTTCATACAACAAATCGTTCGACATAATTTTACACTCTAAGAGGATGAATTTTCTAAAATCGCTTTGCATAACTAATTCACTAATCACTAATGTCCTGTAAACGAACCTTTGTGCTAATATTGATGTATCTAAAGCTAGTGGTATGAACTGACCCCTAAAATATCTAAAAACTTGATATATAATCTCTATAATCTAACTGACACACCATTGACAATGACAAATAATTGATTTCTGGAGGTATTTTGTGTAGGTGTTTTTCAGGTATGTTTTAATATTTATTCGTTTTACATAAAGAAATACCGATTAAACGATATAATCATACTTCATAACAAATCTAGACATATATACCTTTCATTTAAAAAAAAAATCATCAAGATTGTTGAGGCGGTTTCGGCGGGATGGATGTAACAAAAAAACCCTTTGAGCTTTTATATATGTATCCCACTTCGGTGTCACAAGCTGAATTTTTCAGGGAAGGAAGTACAAGTACGTGATATGGGGATCCTTATTCCAAAAGTAGTACAAAATTAGAACGGGAAAAAGGGCACTATCATTAAAAATCGATATATTAATACTACCGTATAGAAAAAACAAATACTTATTTTTTGATCCAGTACAAAATAAAGTCTTCGTAGGGAGTAATTTTTTATAATTATTTACAAAAAAAACATTTCCATTAGCGCTTATGACCGAAAAAAACTTTAAACATGAATAACTCATTTCAATCATGCGAAAATTTGGTTTAAAAATGGACTTTTTTAAATATAACTTTCATTTAACGAAAAACGAAGGCCTAAATGAAAAAAAGAAACAATTTATAAGTTTCGCTTATGTCTTGACAAGGTAACAAAGCAAACCCCATATTTTTTGCTTTTAAACTAATAAAGATATATCAATAAACAATTAGCGATGTCCGACTGCCGCCGCCGTGCCGAGATTTCCTATACGTATACGCGTGATGACGTCATGGTGTAGCAAATGTAGCATTTTAATTCGATTTGGGCTCCCTTATATAGGATAACAGAAACATTTTCAATGTTAACATAATTTCTTGATAATATGGCAACATAGGTAGTAGATTAAATTTACAAAAAAAATCCAGAAAAGATCCAGTGGTTCTTAAAATTAAAAAAAAATAATTATTTTTATACAAATTTTGAAAGTAAAATAACTCGATTATTTTGGACTCTTTTTTCAAATTCAAATTCAAATTTTTTTATTAGACCCCATTAAGTTTTACAGATTAATAATTATCCTTAATAAATTCTGCGTCTAAAGGGATCGCACCGCGATTAAAAAACCGATACAAAGACACAAAGTGTCAGAGTGGTGCGACCCCAAAAATAAAATAGAAATAAATTAAATTATAAAAATAAACAGAAATTAGATAAAAAAAGTGAAAATATAATTTTAGCAGGGATGAGCGGAGATAAGCAGAGAGGCATAACGAAACAGTGTAAAAACCGGAACAGCAACCAATGACGGGCATATCAGAAGAATAAGAACCTCACAAATCAGTCAAAGAAATTATAATTTTTACGAATTTAGAGTAAATGATTTTTAATTTGTTTTTTTATAATCTGTAAAGGATTAAAATTTAAAAGTTATTAGAAATATTATTCCACAAATGTGGCGCTATGAAACTGAAAGATTTTTGGAAGTTAGCTGTTCGGTGTTGAGGATTTTAAAATAATGCATTTGCCTAGTCGAATAATCATGGCCAACGTAGTGGAATAATGAGAACAAATAGGGAGGCTAAATTCGATAAAATAAATGTTATTAAATGAAATTGTCGTCTGTTAGTCATGGATAAAATAGATAAATTTTTAAGATGTGGCGTTATATGATCTCAAAAAGGAATGTTAAAAGAAAACCGTAGACACGAGTTTTGAAGTATTTGGATTTTTCTAGAGAATCTAGCGTTTATTCGCCGTAATTAAATAAAGATCAAATAAGTGTGTCACATAATTGATACTTAGTCTTTGATGGTATATATTTCTTAAGAGACGAAAAATTCTTCAAACGTATATAAGCAGCCTTCAATTTAGTAATTATATGTGCCTGAAAAGAAAGCTTCGCATCAAAATAGACTCCAAGATTTTTAGTCTCTGTAACAATGGGTATCCGCAACATTATCTATATGGATACTCATGTTACCAGCCGTATTTGTAATTTTGTTTATAGTACTACCAAATACTATAACACAATCGTCGCGTCGTTAAAATTTAACTGAAATTGTGCCAAATTATTAATATCTATTTTGCAATAAATTTGAGAATCATCTGCATATTGCTGCAATTTAGAAAACTGTACTTCCTTATCCATGTCAGCTACGTATAACGAAAATAAAAGTGGCCCCAGAATAGATCCCTGAGGAACCCCAGAAATCATAGGAATATAACTAGATTTTTGTTTTAAACTTCCCCGTTTCAAGACAACACAATGTGATCTATCTATTAAAAGGTTTTTTAACAATTCTAAAGAGCCGTCTGAAAATCCAAAATACTGTAATTTTGCTAGGAGCAACGAATGGTCTAGAGTATCAAATGCTTTACTACTACTGCCATTACTCGCTGACAAGTATTTGACATGCATCAAAAGACGGTTACGCAAGGCGTTTCCTGTCGTGAGGTTTTCTGTGACTGAAAAGCCCGATACGTGATGTTATCTCTCTTTCGCACTCCGGACATTCAAAAATCTCATTACTTTGGTGCCTCTTTACTGTTTGGTTGTCGCTGTTAACTGAATTTACAATTCTCCTCCATTGTGTTCTATTGTGCGCTGCTTCCTTCCACTGATGGCTGCATACTTATCCCCTTTAAGTTTTCATGAACAACATCCTTGTATCTTTTGAGTTGTTCACCCGGTTTCCTCTTACCCTCTACAAGTTCACCGTATAGAAGAGATTTCGGTAGGCGGTTTTCTTGCATCCTGCATACGTGGCCAGCCCATCTTAAGCGAGACTTAGTAATTATGACCTCAGCGCTCTCACAGCTTGTTTTTTTAAGGACTGATACGTTTGAGACATGGTGGTACCATTTGATTCTTAAAAGTTGTCTAAGGTGTCTCTGTTGCAACTTCTTTAATGCGCCCGTGTGCCGACGGTACGGCACACAGTGCTTCGAACATATGGCTCTAGAGGACAAAAATGCAAAACTTCTCTTTTATTGTAGGTAATTTATTCAAACTAGGTTTATTTGACATAAATGATGAGTACTCTCATTGTACTAAATGATGATGTTCTTAGTCCCACGTTTATGAAAAAAATCTTATAAATAATATAAATGTGGGAGCTGTGTTTCATCTAAGGAAATAATAATTTATAGTATGAAAACGGTGTAAGTATTAAATAAATCCCTGTGATAAAAAATAATTGGAATATCATTAGAACATGATTCCTACAATATAAGCCAATATAAGATAAAAATGTTTTTCTTTAATGAAAAGAAACATTAATGCTATATTTAATTAAAAAAAACGTAAGATACTATAAATTTACTTTAGGACAACAAAATGCATAGATCGTAACTACTCACAGGTAGATGAAATATCCTCACATATAAGATATTTCTGTACATGTTTTTTCTATGTTACTTTTTCGCGTTGTTACTGTTCTTTTTGTTGGTATGAGGGGTTCGGATGTTAATAGTTACCTCTTTAATAGACCATATCAATATATTATTTTTTCGTTTTCTTGGGTATGAGGTTTTATAATAAATTGAAAGATGGAAACTTTTTTATGCGACGTTTCGCTCCAAAATAGTGGGCTTTTTCAGGCACAAATGGTCTCATTTGACTGGAATGTTCATCAATATCTAATAAAGAACACATTTTTTGAAATACAAATAATTTTGAGTTCTTGTCCTTATGGTCAAGCCAAGTATTAACCAGATCGGCATTGCTTATCAATTTTACTCCATCTGAAAAGTATTATAAAATAAAGTTCGTCGCAAGCAGACGCAGGTGAACTATACAAAAATTAAAAGTGTATGAATATGACAACAAAAATATTCAATAAATACGATATGTTTTGATATGTTTTTTTTAAATGCCTTTTTGAAGTTTGAAAACGTAAAATTTTTAAAGCCATTTAAGAATCATTTTAAAAAATAAATAAAAACTAAACAATCACGAACTTGTTTAGAAATAAATTTAAAGTACATACCTTGTTTAACAATATCCATAGTGGCTTTCAATTAAGTACGTACTAACTCGTTTACGTTTAACTCCATATACAGAACTACTATAAATGTTGTTTCATTGATATAAGATAATGATCGCAAAATTTATTTTTAGTGAAAATATTTGCTAATAAAAAAACGCTGTTTATGAATTATGAAAAATAATATACAGGATGGTTGAACATTGCTATAAGTATAAAATTACATATTCAGATATTAGTAAATTCTAACTTTTTTTTCGATTTTTGTCCATGGGACGAAGCACTGTGCGGCACCCAGGTTTCGCTTCCATATAACATGCTGGGGATTATTACTGCTCGATACATTGCAAGTTTCGTTTTTGTGCTCAAGTCATGATTGTAGAAAACCCCGTCTTTTAATTTCCAGAATGCTCTTGAGGCGCTGCTGATTCTGTGCCGAATTTCAGAGTCGCCTTTTCCGAAATCAAACTGCCGAGGTAATTAAATTTCGATACATACTCCAATAGTTATTCTCCGATTTTTATAGCGCTGTTATGACTTTCCGGGGGAGTGCACATGATTTTTGTTTTATCGATGTTCAGTTTAAGGCCCAAAGTCTCGTATGCCCAGGTATACTAAAGTCTAGTAAAGCTAAGACAAGTCATATTTTTATTTTTTTGATTTGTTCTAATATCATTGACCAGCTTCAGTAAATAAGTGGTAGTGCTGTAGTTCTTACGAAAATCAGATTGGCATTTAGGTATTAGTTTATTTGAATCTATAAATGAAACAATTTGATTATGTAGATGTTTTTCTATAATTTGCTTGTATTGAAAAACGGTAAAGAGAAAATATGTTTCTTTTATCTAGATCGACCAGTCCTGAAAATATTTGCACTTATTTAAGACTTACCCTGTATAGTTTTTGATATGAATTTGAATAGAAAGAAGTTTGAAAAACAGTCATAGAAAGAGAAATGTGTATTCATAGATTATAAACACAACAAAAAAAAATTCTTTCTTTTCACTAACTACGATATACCCACCAAGACATTATTTCACACAATTTAATTTACATTTAACAGAAGTAAAAATAATATTTAAACAATAATTATTTTTCCTAAATTAGTACGTTATTCATTTACTCTCCATCCAAACAAGCAGCAATAAATAAAATTTAATAATTTAATCTCTTATATTTACCTAACATTGGAATAGTTCCTGCTTAATATAATTTAACCTTTATGCTTAATATAAAAATATCTTCTAATCATTCTTAAACGCAGTCGTATTTAAAACGATAGAGCTATCATATTAAAATGTATCTCAGAATAGTTATTTTGGTAAGTACTACTTAAATCCGAATACCTTTTTTCAAATAGCCTAACAGCTGACGACATATTTAGAGAACATATTTTAGGCAAGCTAGAATAACTAAAAATGTATAGTTTATTGAGTGGTGAACCCAGAATCCTAAGTCTGGCTGGGGGTTGGGGGTATTTCGCTACTGCGCAACCCATAACATCTGCAAAAAAATAAATCCAAAAAACATTCTTTAGGCGACTTGAAATTTGTTTATTCTTAAATTTTAGCATCTATTTAACCTGGAAATAAGTGTGCCAGACTTTTTTTTCGGGTTTAAAGTGTAACCAGATCATTCCAAATATGTTTAATTATTATACCTGGAAAACACACTTTAGGCATTCTAAAATTTTTACAGCGTGTTTATTAAATGATATTAAAAAATATGTGTTAATTGCCAGACCAATTCAATGTGATTTAATACTTGCCAGATGCGAATAAAGATTTTAAATGAGCGCGACAAAAAAGTCTTATGAGTATCTATAAGCGCGAGAAAGATAGTTTATTGAGACCCGGTCGGCAGCCGATGCGGCTGACGTAACAGCATTTTGGAGTCGTAAAAACTTAAAAAAAAACTAACTAATATTGAATAAATAAAAAGAAACATTTTTTAATAAAAATTTATGATTGAAATCCTTTCAATAAGAAGACTTTTTAATTTAAGTATTTTGTATCTGAAAGAATAAAAAGACGAATAATTATTTAAAAATTAGCATAATATAAAATATATATTTTTTTCAAACGTGTGAGGTTCAAGTTAACGTCTCCTTTCTGCTGCAATGGCTAAACTGGACGGGACCTACTTTGTTTACGCGGAATCCGAACCGCGGTCCCCGGCCATATCATGGTCAATGGCCTACCGACTTAGGAAGTGTCTAAATTAACTCTTACTCACGAGATATCCGATCTCATCCGGCCTTGAACCGGCGTGAATGAGCAGTGTGTATCAATAGATTTTACACTTTTCCCTTGGACAACAGCACGATGCAAAGTTTCGAACCGGTCACCCGTCCATCCACTAGCATCGCCTTCCGTCGCTTAACTTCGGTGTTCTAATGGGAACCGGTGTTTCGACGTAGCTGGGCCGTTGCCCTTTTTCAAACGTCACAAAAGTATAATTATTATTATATTTTTGTGACATGTTATATTATTATTAATTTTTGCGACTTGATTGACTATTGAATATAAAAAAGTCATTTTAACGCCTAAGCATAAAAGTAAAGCACTTTTACTTACTTTTGAATCTATTTAGAAAGATTAACAATGGTACTTTAATAAAATTCCAGAATACTTATTTTTTTAGCACTGTACATGGTACCCTTTTGTCGGGACTACGTTTTCTGATAAAACCACTTCTTTAAATTTTAAACAAATTTTAAACATTTTTGTAGTCTGCCTTCATCAAAAACAATAACTTTGTCACTAGTAACTTTTTTACAAACTACACAACTTAAATGTTTTTTATCCATTGTGATTTAGTAGTTAGTAGCGAAATTAGTAGTTACTAAAATATTTATTTGCAGTAATTATTCTAAACTATTTACACTATGCACGTCAATATTTAATTTATAAATACATATTTGTTACATGGTAACTGAATTCCAAGAAAATAATCTCGAAATTAAAAGCCTGCAAATATGAATGAAACCGAAAAAAAAATGTTTTTATGAAAATTTAAAGTACTCCAAAATACTGTTACGTCAGCCGCATCGGCTGCCGATGGGTCTCAATAAATTATCTTTCTCGCGCTTATAGATACTAATAAGACTTTTTTGTCGCGCTCATTTAAAATCTTTATTCGCGTCTGGCAAGTATTAAATCCCATTGAATTCGTCTGGCAATTAACACATATTTTTTAATATCATCTAATAAACACGCTGTAAAAGTTTTAGAATGCCTATATGTTTTCCAGGTATAATAATTAAACATATTTGGAATGGTCTGGTTACACTTTAAACCCGAAAAAAAGTCTGGCACACTTATTTCTGGGTTAAATAGATGCTAAAATTTAAAAATAAACAAACTTCAAGTTGCCTAAAGAATGTTTTTTGGATTTATTTTTTTGCAAATGTTATGGGTTACGCAGTAGCGAAATACCCCCGACCCCCAGCCAGACTTAGGATTCTGGGTTCACCAGTTATTAAACTTTATTTGTTCTCTAAATATGTCGCCAGCTCTCCGGCTAAAATCTCAAATAACGGGAATAAAAGGAAGAATTTTCAGTTCTAATAAAAAGAAAAAACAAATTTTTCTGTAAACGTTCTGGTGTGGAATTATACTAAGATACAAAAAAACGACTCAGATACAAGAAACTATTGTTATTTTTTAATATTTTAACCCTATTTTCACGATTTTTTTAGCAAATGTATATAAATATACCAACATCAATTCGTAAACTCAGGTTTTTATAAATTTTAGTATAATTTTGTAAGAGCAAATTTTCCTAAAATTAATTTTTCGACCAAAACATTATAACATTGGTTAATTTTTAAGAGCGAAATTAGCGTGCTACTTACAACTTGCAATTTGTTCAATTAACATTATCTACTTTTTGATACTTTTTTTAAATGACGAGGTGGCTTTTGTGATTATCGCTGTAATGTCAAGTTAAGTGGTTAATAATCGTAACAAAACTAACCATATGAAAGAAAACAACTGTAATATTAAGTATACAAAAGAAAAAAACTTATTAAATATCCCAATATTTTGTATTGCTCATTTCGCTGTCAAAAATTAACTAAGTGTGCGAACACAGTGCAAGCAGGTTTGCCGCTTTCTGGTAGCCAGCGCCAATCTGGGTACCTATTCTTGACATCGTTCGCAACTTTGCGTATACGCATCACGTGTATTGTTATAAACAGGGTATCCCAGAAATAAGTGCAAGTATTTTAAAGGGTGGTAGATCTAGATAAAAGAAACATATTTTCTCTTTATCGTTTTCCAAATAAGTCCAAAATAACGGAGTTATTTTACTTTGAAAATTTCCAAAAAAAATGATTTTTTGCAAAAATTTTGAGAACCTTCTTCATGTGCCTTCTCCTCATCGGAGGTTGGCGGCCATCAATCGGAATTCCTCCCTGTCTTGAGCCAAACGGATAATTGCACTTGCCTCTCCTATATTTAAAAATATTTAGAAAAAACACCTCATCGGTGTGTTTCTGGGGTTGAACTATACTACCAGTTAACTTAAAATACTTGCACGTATTTCTGGGACACCCTGTATATGGTTACATAGTAGCGCCGCGCCGCGCCGCCTCGCGCTTATAACCTTGAAAAAATAAAGCGTGTTATCAAATCGGCTAGTTCACAGTGAAAGCAGGTAGGAGCCGTCAACCAGCGTTCATCGGCGTTCTCGCTTTTACCGGAACGAACATTTATTTATTTCTGCTTTTGCAGGCGCCGACGGCGCACAGAGGGTATTAAGAACTAAAAGTTGGCCAAAATTATGTTTTATGATTTTTTTGCTTTTTTGCTAGTAAAATTAATTATTAGAGGAGAGGGTGCTAATATGGAACCTCATTTTGTTTTTCCTACACAATATTTTTTCCTCTATTCTGAAACCCTTTCCACCGATCAAATAGGGCCATTCTGGTGCAAAACCAAGCAATTGGATGAGGATGCTAGAACAAAGAAAAGTAATTTGTATATTATAGACGATATTTGAGCGAGGATGGGTGTTATAGGGTAAAGACTATTTCCTTTAAGAATCTATTTAAATCAATGTTTTTTTTTTGGCAGTGACAAATATTGGCAAGATTTTTTGTACATATTCCAAAGCTGGAGACTTTAAGCATTGAACGGATACTAATTTCCATGCGGAATATTGCCGAATAGTCTTACACCTTATAAAAATGCCTCTGATTTTTTAAATATAAAACATTATAGAGAAATAGAATAGAAGGAAACGTTTCCAAATAAAAAATATGGCATAAAAACAGGACTTGACAGCTGGCTCTGTATCCATCATGACAGTAATTATAAACAATTTGCAAAAAAGCACTATAAACAATTCCACTATTTTATAATCTTAGAAATATTCAGAATACACTCAAGATAATTCATACTTATAATTGAAATATATTATTTATTTGATAGTCAACTTACGACTTAAAAAAAGCTAATAAATGTGCTTACATTTAGTATTTATAGACTTGTATTCAGTTAAGATAAAAAATGAAAATAAAAATATTTCACTTTTGGCCAGGTTTATAGACCAAATACCCCTATGTGCGGCGCCGCGCCGGCGCGGGGGGGCGACGTTTGGATATGGTTAGGTTAGGTTAGGTTAGTTAATCAGGTAAATTTCCTCTTAATTAACTACTTCCGAACCCTGCTCGCATCTCCGAAAAAGCCATATAACAATACACGGCATATACGCAAAGTTACGCATCACGTGTATTGTTATATGGCTTTTTCGGAGATGCGAGATGTGAGCGATATGTGGTCAAGAATAGGTCCCCAGAGACGGCGCTGGTTGCCGGAAAGCAGAAACCTGCCTCCACTATGTTCGTACCCTAAGACATGTGTTGACATGAATGACATGAGCCAAAAAACAAAATGCACAAGAGATAAATTTACTCACACAATTATTTCAGAGGGTGTCTTTTTAAAGTAAGTGTAAAAAACAACCCTTCGATTACCCCTGTATAATAAGCCAAATACTAAACCTTATCAAACACTGAGTTTATGAATTAAGGTTGATATACAGGGTGGTCCGAACTGTATTCCGGAAACTTAAAAATAAGTAAAAAAGTTCGTATAAATGTATATTATAAAAGGTTTAGTTTCGGAGATACAGGGTGTAGAAGTTTCATTTTTATTTCGATTTTTTTCAAATAATTACTGCAGTAACGTCAATATTTGGATGAAAATTGGTGTCTAGGAGTTTTTTGACATGAGAAATTTGATTTTGATGTCATTATGATTCCTACTAGTAGAGGGCGCCACCTACATATTTTTTAACTGGTTTGAAGAGTAATAACTTTTCATCCGTACTTGTATAAACTACTGAGTAAACAAATATTTATTTACGACGTTTTTTACGTAAAAAAGTCTCTTGGTAAAAATCGCTATGAGTAATGGTTTTCGAGATATTTGGAATCGAAATTATCAATACCTGTCATCATTGACATAAATTAAACATGTTGACTAAATAGTTATTAGACTGAAATCATAAAATGTAAATGTTTTTGTGCCAAAAGTTCAATAGAAACTGTTTTATCATCATTTTTTCGAAGAAAAACTTATTATTAATTTAAAAAAATAAAAAGTTCGCAAATTATTCATTTTAGTCAAATAACTGTCTACTTAACATGTTTATTTTTTGTCAATAATGACATGTATTGATTGTTCCCATTCTAAATATCTTGAGAACGGTTGCTCATAGCGATTTTTACCAAGAGACATTTTTTACGTAAAAAATCACGGAAATGTATATTTTTTCACACAGTAGTTTTATACAGGTACGGACAAAAAGTTATTACTCTTCAAAACAGTTAAAATACATGTAGATGGCGCCCTCTACAAAGAGGAGTCATATTGACATCAAAATCAAATTTCTCATGTGAAAAAACTCCCAGACACCAATTTTCATCCCAATATTGACGTTACTTTCGAAATTATTTGGAAAAAATCGAAATAAAAATGAAATTTCTACACCCTGTATTTCCGAAACTAAGCATTTTAGGACATACATTTATAAGAACTTTTTAAAATATTTATATATGCAGAATATGCTGCCGAAGTTTCCGGAATACAGTGCGGACCTCCCTGTATATTATATTATATTTATATAAGGTTTACTAAAAAATAATTGAAATTAGGGTTGGGGGAGGGCTATTAACAGACAGCGATACATTAATCTGTATACAGGGTGGTCCGAATTGTATTCCGGAAACTTCGGCTGCATATTTTGTAGATAAAGTAAGTAAAATTCGTATAAATGTATGTCCTAAAATGCTTAGTTTCGGAAATACAGGGTGTAGAAGTTTCATTCTTATTTCGATTCTTCCCAAATAATTTCTGCAGTAACGCCAATGTTTGGATCCAAATTTGTATCGGGGTGTTTTTGAGAGAAATCTGATTTTGATGTAAATATGACTCCTACTTGTACAGATCGCCAACTACATATCAATGTGAATTGTTTTTGTGTCAAAAGTTCAACAGAAACTGTTTTATCATAATTTTTTCGAAGAAAAATTTATGATTAATTTAAAAAAAGTAAAAAGTTCCCAAATTTATCGTTTCAGTCAAATAACTATCTACTCAACGTGTTTTTTTTATCAATGACATGTATTGACTATTTTCATTCTAAATATCTTGAGAATGGTTGTGCGTAACTCAGTAGTAGTTAGTTACTTATTCTTACAGGTACGGACAAAAAGTTATTACACTTTAAACCAGTTAAAACACATTTGGCGCTCCCTACAATAGGAGTCATATCGTAACCACCGTAATAACAAAGCTGGACAGCTGTGACGTAAAAATCTCGTGATGTCACCAACTGGAGGCTCAACTCTATTTAGCAGCGTTGATAATTACCCGATAAAAGTTCAAATTGTGGATCTTTTTTCACTCACCAGATATATTTCGAAGTTTTAAAATGTCTTTTTTCGAGTTTTTAAATGACCGAGAAAAAACAAAACGGCGCGGCGTCAGCGATGGCTATGAAATGAAGATCGTTGTCATTTTATATGTAAAATTATATGGGGAATGTCATCGATCATCATTTCCAAGTCAACTAGACGCCGTTTTTTTTCTCGATCATACGACATTTTTCAACCTGATTTATAATATGGTCATCAATTTAATAATTTTCCGCTTTATGAGGGGTCTAAATAATAAGATGCGAATATTATATTTAAAGCTATATTTCTTCTGTTTTCTCAAATATATTTCTATGTATTTTCTAAAGCTTTTACTTATCTTTTACCTCACCTCAAACCTTTCATATTTGAAAGTTACATAAACTCTACACACCCTCTACATCGATTAACTACATCACTACATGTAATGTAGTTTATGTAGTTTTTAAGAGTAACATGTAGTTTTCCGAACCATGATGTTAATACTGATCAAATTATTAGTCATGCTTGTTATTTACTAAATTCTTTCAAATTCGATGAAAATAAAAAAAAATTCTAACTTTTATCAATATTAAAGTTGTTAACTTGAGTTGAGTAACAGGTTGAGCTTGAAGTAATAAAATATTGTTTTAATGAGTAAAATATGAGGTATGTTTTACTAGAGAACTTGCAAACTGATCCTCTTGAAAGTAGGTTTGGAAAATATAGACAGTTAGCTGGGAGTCAGTACAGTATTTGTGTTCGACATTTATATGAAGGCGAAAAGAAACTTAAGATTCTGTCATTAATGTCCCTAAAAATAATTTAACATTCTCAGACAACACAACAAACATTGAACAAAATTCACTTATAAAAAACCTTACTAAAGGCAGTCTTGGGTTTCCAAAAGATGAAATAACTAATATAGCTTTATTTGAATATATAATTTTTAACAAAGTTTTGCAAAGCCACGAGGACTTTCTCAAAATTCACAATAAAAAAATATTTTTATCAAAAATATCTTTGAATTACATTAAAAGTAATAACACCATTATTAAAATTTCGTTTAAGTAAAGTTATTGTAAAAATTGTCATAAATTCTATTAGAAATACACGTCTGAAAAACTACTGTTGTTAAAAAATAATGATAGACTTGGAAAGGGAAATAAAAGAAACTTAGACACACTTACAGCATAAAAAAATACAATGACGATGGATAATGTGAGGTGGGATATCAATCTGATGTTTTTTAAATTTTATGTTTAATTATTATTTATTAAAAATTCGGTGCAATTAAAGTTTATATCCATTATATAGGTATAAAGTGTATCAAATGCAATCAAAGTTTAGGCCTCCAGTTGATGACGTCACGAATAAGCTGTCCGGCCTTGTTATTGCGGTGGTTACGGTCATATTGACATCAAAACCAAATTTCTCATATCAAAAAACTCCCAAACACCAAATTTCATCCAGATATTGGCGTTACTTCAGAAATTATATGGAAAAAATTGAAATAAAAATTAAACTTCTATACCCCGTATCTCCGAAATTAAGCATTTTAGGACATACGTTTATACAAACTTTATTATTTATTTCTATCTGCAGAATATGCTGCCAAAGTTTCCGGAATACAGTTCGGACCACCATTTGTAAGTCAATAAAAATAAAAGTATAAAGTTTAAAATTAATTTTGTAGTTTTTGTTTGGAATATTTCAAATGAATCTTCTTGTCGTATTTTCAGGTTATAACACTAGGGATGTTCCTCTCTATGGCATCAGATATAAACCAACCCAACAACCTAGATTCCTCTATTAAAAAACTCATCAAAAACGCAGTACCAGATCAAGTGACACGTGACATATCATTACAAGCACTCACACTCAGACTTGGATATTACTCCATACTAAATATCCAGACAGCAGTTGATAACGCCATCGTCGGTATAGGTGCATTAATAGCCTCGTTCATCCCAGACATCAACATATCGGAGTTTGTGACGAGTATTCTGACACCTGTCATTACATACCTTGACACATTGGCAAGTACGGTTCAGACCATACCCGTTCTGTACTTTGTGGTAGAGGGTGTATCGACTATTTTAACCGTAGCGAATACGACTATCGGAGTTTTTAACTTTACCACAACTAATGTTACATCGGCTGTGATCATAGGGGTACAAACTGTCGTAGATTCCATTTTTACTATAATAGAAGGCCTTGTTATTTGAACTGAGTAATTTAGATTATTGCGAGTGCTACCACAGTGTATTTTAAGAAAAGATTTTGTATATTAGTGTCAGAGAGGCAGTGTGCGACGACTTTTTTTTATTATATAAATATATAAATTTGACAGTATTATACAGTGTTTCCTTATAATTAATAAAGACTTTTTTATGTAAAAATTATTATTTTTTATTTGAAATTCCGTTTTCTAAAAATTAAAAAAAGTATTTCAAAATTTTTAATGGTTTTGCAGATACACGCAGTATTATTTCATATGGCTCTTTCAACGGATAAAAAATCACTGGGTGGCTTTGATAAAAATGGACTGTGAAAAATGCCATGTTCTATGAAATATAAAACCGCGAATATCTGCGAACCGTTTTGAAACACTCTAAATATAAAAAATGTTTAGTTTATATTTCTCCATCTACCGAGAAAATAATATACTACCATTAAAAAAAATAAAGAAAAATTATTTTATATTCTATATTTTTAAAAACCAAGCGAAGTTCATTTAACGAAGCTTGTCCTGATTCGCGACCTGTTACTCTCCTACCAACCATTTGCCAAACGTCGAACATGATGGGCAGAGTTCATAGTAGTATATAATTCACAATAATCACCAAAGCCGCCTTGTCACATTGAAAAATAACTTCAAAAAAGAAATGATAATTGAAAAAATTGCCAATTGTTGGTGGCAACCTTATTTCGCTTTTAAAAATTAACCAAAGCATGTATTGACATGACCCCAAAAAAAAATGCTCAGGAGACATGGTTCTGACCGTAAAATTATATTTTAGGAAAATTTACACACGAAATTATTGCACAGGGTGTTTTAAAGTTAGGGTAAAAAATAACCCCTCGATTAACCCTATATAATATGCCTAATAATAAAGTTTATAAAAACTGAGTTTACGAATAAAAGGTGATATAATTATATCTACAGCTTGCTAAAAAATTCATAAAAATAGGGCTAAAAATAACAAAAATATAACACTTTTGCATTTGAGTGTAAGGGTGTCCCATTTTGGTTGAAATCACACGGTATTTCTGTTATTAGATCCGTAGAAGGGTGGGGTTTGCACAAACCTGTCCCACTTTTTTGTCAAACGGAAGATGCCGTAAACAAAATTTTCATAGCCCTGTTCGTTTCTGAGCTACAGGGTCTTTTTGAAAGTTTTGCAAATTGGGACACCCCCTGTATCTCTGTTATTGTTAAAGCTATCGAGAAGGTGAAAACTGTTTATTGTTAAAAATTTTACGTAGAATACAGTGGCATTTTTTATTCTTTGAAAAGAACATTTTTAAAAATATGAACTAAAGTTATGTTTTCTTAAATAGAACACCCTGTATATTTATAAATTATATGATCTGGCTTGCCATAAGCTTCTCAAAAATATATATCACTCTATATTTATTTTCATATTTACTTACTGCAATATTTAAAAGGTTTTATTAAAAGATCACATTTATTAGTAGGCCATGATTGATAATAAAAGAAACTAAAAAATTATTAAAAGTATACTACCATCTGTCTCTTGTTTTATTTTGGAAGCAACTAAAATAAATTCTTTATATAATTAAGCAAACTTAACTCTCTACCGCTATATGTAGATCTTGGAACCAATGGATCCATAAGATGGCCTCCCCGATTCCCGGATTTATCCGTTTGGATTTTTGATTTTGGGGATTTTTGAAATATGATATATATCGTGGCAACTACAACAATATCGAACACCTGAAAAATGATTTAATAATGCAAGCAATAATATTTACAAACCCATCCGCTTATAATAAATTTCGTTAAAAAAAAATTAGTCGGACGCGAAGAAAAATTCGCGCACGAAGGGTTCCCTACCATTCATTATCTACACAACATTAAGGTGCGTATTCATTATCCGAACGAACGAACGAACGAGCGAACGAATGGAATTCAGTATATTTAGACGGGGAACCGAACACATGCGGCCGTTCGTTCGTTCGTTTGCTCGAATCCGTTTCGAGTCGGTATCGGTACATCAAAGGAGTTTGCAGACGAATGCGTTAAGGTGCGTATTCATTATCCGAACGAACGAACGAGCGAGCGAACGAATGGAATTCGGTATATTTGGACGATGGACCGAACGCATGCGGTCGTTCGTTTGTTCGTTCGCTCGGCCATCCGTTTCGAGTCGGTACATCAAAGGCGTTCGCAAACGAATGGGTTAAGGTGTTTTTGTTTGGTTCTAAAATCCGGTTCCGCCCATACTACTACCGAACGAACGAATGAACATTCGTTCGTTCGTTCGGATAGTGAATACGCACCCGTAGGTTTTGTTCCTTCGGTTATAAAATTCGGTCCAGTCCATAATACCACGGCACAAACGAACAAACGTTCGTTCGATCGTTTGGATAGTGAATACCTTTGGACACTATATTATTATAAACTTCTTTTCCGATTTAGCTGAAATTTTGAATGCGCGTATAAGTAATTTAAAAAAATGAAGAAACACATTACTAAAAATTGTATTAATCAATAATTAAAAATCGTGTTGTGCAAATTGTAGCTATAGCAATAAAACATTTGGCACAAAATACAACTGTGAGCATGTAACAATGGACAGTGAAATGTGTGTGAAAAAGTAAAATTAAAAAGGTAATGGATACCACTGACTATACTATCAAGCCTCTATTTCCCCGATTCTTGGGAAAGATAGATAACCTCAAAATTGTGGAACCAAATGGATCAAAATAATTTAGGCGATGGTATTGTAGAAAAAGAAACTGAGTATGATGATTTGATCACATTTAATAATGGTAATATAGGTAAAAACTTAATTTTTTATGTTAATGTGAGAAGTTTGAATGCCAATTTTAATAAACTAGAATTGACTATTGCAAGTTTAAAAATTAAACCTATCATTATTGTTTGTGTTGAAACATGGAATCTTGTAAAATATGAACAATTTAGCATAAAAGAATATAAAATATATTATAATCAGAGTAAGATAAACAAATCTGATGGTGTTGTTATATACGTAAGGGGTAACATAGAAAGTGCTCCAAAAATTGAATGTATTGATAGGCTGAATCTTATGAATATAAATATTAAGACTAATAATTAATTATGGTAACAATATTGAAATCTCGGCACTTTATAGATCACATAACATACCAAAAAATGAATTCTTAACAAGTTTAAAAAAGTATTTGGATAATAAAAAAAATATTAAAAATCATTTAGTTATAGGAGATTTCAATATTGATCTGTTGGAGCACAGCACTGTTAGTCAAGAATATCTGAGTAACTTTCTGGAGGATGGCTATATGCCTTGTTTCCAGGGAGTAACAAGACCGGCAGAATGTAATCAGGAAGGAACCTGCATTGATAATTTTTTCTTTAAAACAAACACAATAGCATATAAAGCAATTAAAATTACTCAAACTTTTACTGATCATTATCCACTATTTATTAATATAGATACAACTCTAATAAATAAAGAAAGTAATTATAACCCAAATAGAATAAATTATAAAAAAAATTTTTTGTTGGAAGATCCTAATGTAAGCATTAACTTAATAATTGAAAATATACAAAATTGTATATGTAAATCAAAGGAAAGTAAAATAACAAATAAAAATGGGCAAAAAATTGGATTACAAAAGGAATAATAATTTCATGCAATAAAAAAGAACATCTTTACAACTTGTGGAAACTAGATAAAAAAAAATGAACAACTAAAAAATGATTATAAAACTTACACAAAAATACTTGATAAAGTTATAAAAGATGCTAAAGTTAAAAATGAAAAAAAACTGGTCGAAGCAAATTGTAATAATCCAAAAAATCTCTGGAAAATAATAAATAATAAAATAGGAAAAAGAAAAAAAGAAAATAACAAAATAGAACATATAGAAGAATAGATTTTTCTAAAACCAACTAGCACAGACGAAATTAAAACAATAATAAATAATTTAAAAAATAAATCAAGTGAGGTAGATAATATCCATGCTACTACACTAAAAGTGTTGTCTGAAAATATTGCAGAACCATTAATGCATGTTTTTAATAAATGCATTGAATTTTCTTTTTGGCCGGATTCCTTGAAAAGTGCAGAAATAGTTCCCATATATAAGGCAAATGAGAAAAATAAAACACATAATTATAGACCCATCTCTTTAATTTCAAACATTGCAAAAATTCTTGAAAAAATAATCCATAATAGGTTATATAACTTTATAATAAATAACAAAATAATCTCAGATAATCAATATGGTTTTCTTAAGAATATGGGAACTAGAGATGCATTTTCAAATATAACAAATATAGTTTATAATAATCTGGATAAAGGAATCCCAATAATTGTAGCTTTCCTAGATTTGGCTAAAGCTTTTGACACGGTCAATCACAAGTTGCTATTAGATAAATTATATCAGTATGGGATAAGGGGAAGTGCACATAGATTGTTAAATAGTTATCTAAACAACAGAAAACAGAGAGTTAAAGTCAATCATACTATAAGTTCTTATCGAGAGGCAAAAGTAGGAGTTCCACAAGGTACAATACTTGGACCCCTTTTGTTTATAATTTATGTGAATGACATCTTGGAATCTTTATCAAAAAATACAATAATGTCATATGCAGATGACACAGCAGTTATTTCTGCAGCAAAAACTTGGGAGGAAACAATAAAAAAAATGAATCTTTATTTGGAGAAAATTTCAAGATTGTTAGCATTGAATAAGTTATCATTGAATATAGATAAGACTGTTTTTATCACCTTTGGAAATTACTGTGATAGTGTGCCAGACCGGGTAGAAATAAAAATTAATAATAAGTGCCTAAAACGTGTAAATAGTTATAAATATTTGGGGGTAATTTTTGATTATAGACTTAGTTGGGATGAGCACATAAATCATGTTATAAGCAAAACAAAATACTTAACAATAATTTTTTATAAACTAAAACAAATTATGACCACTAAAACACTAATGTTAATTTACTATGCTTTTTTCCATAGTGTTGTAAGCTATGGAATTATAGCATGGGGAGGTGCTTATATGAATAACTTGAATGTTTTGAATAATCTACAGAAAAAAATAATAAAAATGATCAGTAAAAACACTTTATTTACAACAAACTTACCACTTAATTTAGAACAACTTTTTTCTTTAGAATC